AACAGTCTTCAAACAGTCATCAATCTTACATAACGTGGTTGAAAAAAAAACTCCAAATATACAGCTGACTATTAAGGCTGTTAAAGACATAAACCTCCTACCTAACTCCCACAGCCTTGCATCTCTGGACCATGTCTTTTAATTGTGCCTCGTTACCGCTACGACTGGTCAGCTTATAACTGATTGGCTGGTAGCGCTCCCACCAGGGACGGTCTCCGTCTGTTGTAATCATGGCGTGCTCCATTGGCGGCGACACCTACAAAGTGAATGTGATCAAAGAAAATATATGCCAATTGTTTGCCCTAAGTCAGAGTTGAAAGTTGGCTAATAAAATAGAGATGACATACAACATCCCCCATATTATATATTTGCCTTTAGTAGTACGACAAATTTTTGTTTGTCGCAATCTAAACAAGCCTTCCACTTTATGTAGATATCAATAAATAATATCTCCCATAAGAGACCATAGAAATAGAGCGATCTATATAGATGTAACATGTAAGTTTCCAGTACCTGTACACCACAGAAACCTTTGGGTCCCAGGAATCTCTCACATTCCTTGGCGATGTCTGTCCACTTCCATTCAAACAGGTGCACGATGACCTGTTTACCACCACAGTGAGGGTCATGGTACGGCGCCACGCCATAGGTCAATCCTAGATTCAAATCAAATTAACAAGGAACAGTTTTTAAAAAATACAATACCTCCGTTCTGCAACTTAAAAAAAAATTGAATATTTTTAAAAAGTATAAAAAAAACAACAATTAGCTCTAATTGGGCTTCGAACTCGTGATGGTGACACAGTCAGCTTCTTGGTTCAACGGTGTTCCAAATTAGGTCAGCGGACAATGTATAAGATATCTAATAATTTATTGGTATGTCTATAAGACGTAGAACTCTTAAAATCTAGTCTAGATCTAGAATCTAGACCTAGTCTCTATATTAGATTTACTTTATAATATCCAAACAAATCTATTTATAAACTTGAAGCAACTTTAAATTTAATTAACCAACTTTCAATTTAATTAACAACTTTTTTTTTAATTGACTGATTCCAATGATATAGATCTATAAAAGGCCTTTAAATGTAGACTAAGAAGAAGATGCGCAAAACTTTCCTAAACAATTAACATTAATTTATTATAGGCTACTCTTGTGTCAATAGTGCCTTACATTCGGAAATTTCCGAACGCGATAGTCCTTTCAAGTTCTTTCGAAACCGATGTTGCCTAAGTCTATTACTCAAGCCAAATTCATATTTATTTATTATTTTCTACCTTGAAAAATTATTACGATAAAACTAGAGTTTTCCCCCATGTTAGAAATTCTTTTCTCAGCGATTTATACCAACTGTTAAATTTATAGGAAATTTACTAGAGCCGCTTTTCATATTAGCGTCCCAGGTTTCGTGAAGTTCTGACTTGAATAGAGGTATTGTAAAAAGATGTTTTCGATGGGCTAACGCAATTTTTTAAAATTAACGTTTTATATGATTACCATGAGGTGACGATGATCTACAAAAGGGAAAGTATATCTCTTTCAGACCTTGATATCTATACTGCCGATAGTTAATGAGGATGTCATGTGGCCAGCACAACAATCTTAGTTTCCAAAACTAATGTCAGGTACTCATTAGATTTAAGTGGATTCGGGGGCTTCCTAGAAATTTCGAAATTCAAAATTATCGAGATTATGCCTGAAACCTAAAACTCAGAGCTGTACCAATCAGGCACCATGGACTAAAACTACAAAAGCGTCAGCATTATTTTGATACAAAGCATACCAGACCATGCAATACATCTGTCATTTATAATTCTTTTAAATATATAGATGTATTACATTCTTATTCATGTAGTCCAATTAAATGTGCTTTAAGTTCCCCTTACAGACCTTGTGATATATAGGACAGATGAAGGATAGGTCGTCTGTTCCTTTGGCCGACAGTTAACTAGAGTGTTATTTGGCCAGCATAACGACCAATCGATCCAAATAACGTCGGGTACCCATTAGAGCTGGGTGGACTATAGATACTGTATTTTAAAAATCTCAGTCTTCACCTGGATTCGAACCCTGGACTCCTCGGTTTGGAAGTCAAGCGCTTTACCACTCAGCCACAGTGCCTCATGTTGAATGTGTTTAATGCATGTGAAAATACTGCATAATCCTGTGATATCGTCACATCACTTTGCAGTTAGAACCCCCGCCTGGAAGCTAGTGCTAAGGTTGCTACGATGTAATATTTTTTTTTGTATAAAGAAACTCAGAAGCCAAATATCAGAGGAATGATAATGTGGTACCGGGTAGAATTTTAAATCATCGAAATAGGAACCCAATATTTACGAAACAACACAATTAATGAGACTGACTTAAAAAGCTAACCTACGCTGACCAGTAGTATGAAGCCGAACTGTAACTCCATTCTCTCTGGAATGATCTTCAATTGAAAGCTCAAATACTTTAAAAACACATTTTCTAAGACCTTCTCTAAGATAAGATAAAACCAAGATAAAAAAAAAGAATGTTTAGAGAAAAGGTTCTCAGCTTTTGCTCCAAGGACGTATTCATATTTTCAGCTTCTAAAAAGTGATATCAATTTTGAGTAGTTCCAAGCGTTTTTGAGACGTTTTGTTCACAGTATGAGTGTTAATTTTTAAAAAATATGTCACTCCGCAAGAAGGCTGATAACGTCAATGTTTCATGGAAACCACATTTTGAAAAAACAGTGTTTTAAATATAGTGGCCCCAAATCTTACATACAGGTTGAACCAGGAAAAAATAGCCCGACCTACATAAGCAGACGTCTCACTCTGAACTAGAAGAAGCCGAGAGTACAAGTGTCGATTTCCCATCCACTAATGGTGTCCCCTTAAGAAAGAGTAAGTTGCCTATTTGTCTAGAACATAATTGACTTGTCCGCATTACAACAGATGAATTAACCAGGTATGGATGGCGATAGCTTTCTCCACTACAGAGTGAGGCTTGTTATAGAAGTCATGCTACATGTTCTCGGGTCACACTGGCATTGAGATTTTCATTAAAGCCGAAAAAAAAAAAGATAAATAGCTAGCTATTCGGTGTACAATATAACTGAAATGTTGATACGTTTTGTTTTTTTAAAATGGTTTATATAATTTTTCTATGCACTACTTTGTACTGCAGAATTAGATTCCATTTGTAGCTTTCATTTAGTTGGCAGAATGGAAGTTGAACTTCGCGTCTTTCTCCTATCCCTTGATAATTTCAAATGCAGACTTTTCAAACTTTTGATTTTTAATATTTGGTTTTATAATTGGTAAACGTGTTCGTGTTTAAATGCAGGATTCCTAACAACAACCTTTACCCAAGTCTTTTTTTTCAATTGTGTTTTCTCTAACCCAGAAATTGAGAACCACTGCACTTATGGTGGCGTTGTTGAAGGCCAATTATGTTACGTCTTGTATGTCAATAACAAAGATATTCATTGTTGTTTATATCAGTTCTGGGCTTTTGACAATGTTGTGGCCTTGTGCTAATTGGCATTGGAGACTCAACAGTTGGAGCCTCATTAGGGCCGCAGCTATTGAGTAAGTAGAGCGCCGTGACTTCCCTCGCCTTGGGAATACAGACGTTACTTCAAAAAAAGAAGATGATTACGTCCTACGCGCAATGCTTCTAGTCCTGCCTGTTAACCAATGAATCGCCAATGACTTCAATTCTGTCAAGTCATCGGTTTTTTAGGCTGGCTCAGGTGGACGCAGTCAATTTGAGATTCTATTGTTATGAGAAGTATAGATCTCTCTTCATTACACCCTTGAGCATGACGTGGTTGTCTGTAATTTCATTCTGTCCCGTTTCATAAGGCTCCAAACAAAGTGTGAAACTGTTTTAACAGATGCAAGTTTTGAATCCACGAAAGGAAAGACTGGGGCATATGCAACCAATGTCAAAGTTCACTCGCATGTAATTGCCATTCAACCCAGTCAAGTAGGATATCAAGTGCTCACACTATTTATTTTATATTATTTCATTCTCAGTTTTATAGTTCATTTAAATACAAGTGGATTACCAAATAAACGAACAAGTTAAATTTGGAGAAAGAGACACCAATTGATCCCTATGGAGAGCAAGCATAAAGGTAGGGTCCTGGATTGCAGACGGCGTAGAAGTAGAAAGAAGGGTGAAAGTGCAACGGCACCTGTTGATTACAGAAGCCCAAATTGTGACGCATTTGTGTATCATGGATTGACCTCTTGGTCATATGAAAATACCATATCTATCTATCAATCTCTCTCGCTCTCTCTCTCTCTATATATATATATATAGAGAGAGAGAGACACACACACAATTACTTTACTATAGTAAATTTATTTCCCTTTCAGACCTTGAGATCTATAGTGCAGATGATGTAAAGGTCATCTATTTCTGTAGCCTACGGTAAACAAATATGTTATACGGCCAGCACAACGACCAACAGCCTTTACTTTTAAATAATGTCAGGAAACCATTACGGCTGGGTGGACTCAGAGGCGCCCTAAGGATCCAGAAATTAAAAAATCGACAGACTTCAACAGGATTCGAACCCGGGTGCCTCCGGTTTGGAAATCCAAGCGCTTTACCACTCAGTCAACGCAAAGAGAAAGTACGTGTATAACCAAGCACTCTTCAAGTTGAGTGTGCAGGAAAGTTCTCCCAATGAAAGAAATCTACCCATTAGAGACTCAGGAGCGACGTAAAAATTCTGAAATTCAAAATCCCAGTCTTCACCAAGATTCGAACCCAGGACCCCAGGTTCGAAAGCCAAGCACTAAATCATTCAGCCACCGCGTCCCCTGAATGTTCAGTGTTATATGTTAATGAGTTAGTACCATGCCTTTTTACACGATACGATTACATGTATATTAATTTATCTACAAAAAAACTTTTTAAAAACTTACTTAAACATGCGAAAATGATGTTTGACGCGGTAGGTTAATAAGTTATTAATAATTAGACTAAAGTACATGAAACAAAAGATGATAGATCCATGGTTACTACTTCATGTTTATTACATAGTATAACATCCTAACGTATGTGAGAATTAAGTCAGGGAGCAGTACGTCTCCAATATTCAAGTTCTATTACATTATCATGACAAGACAAAACAATGTGACGCAACAATTGAATCCAAATGCTCCATACATACACAGGGTGGCCCCAAAAGTTGGTTTACAGTTGGTTCTGAAGAAGGGGCAGCATCAAATGGCCACCACGTCTACCTGACGTTCACGTTTACCTAACGTTAACACCTATTTTTGTGTGTGTGTGTGTCGTTAAGACCAAGGTTTATGAGACGAAACCCTAAAAAACAAGAAATAATTTCAAAGATAACATTCAGCTCGCATTCACAGAAAGCTGTGTGTCAGAATGTCCTATAGAGATTTGAAGACCGTTGGAGTGTCGATGGAGGACATTTTGAACATCTGAGAGATTCAAAGGTTTGTGTTTCTGTGAACAGGTAGATCAAGTTTCCCACTGTTTCGAATTTTCAAACAAAAGTCTACGTGAAAACGGTAAAACCTACGTTTGGGCCACCCTGTAGATCTAAGTACCGCCAACCTGCAACCTACTTTTGGGCCACCCTGTAGATCTAAGTATCGCCAACCTGCAACCAAATATCACAGTGCCTTATTGTGTTTTTATTTTATTCATCAAGGGAGAATACTAATCACTTTAGCAAACGATAGTCTAAATATAGTAACATAGAATCAAATATACAGCGGAATGTTTAGTTTTAGCGAGAAAGAATACAACATGCGTTATAAATGTTTACTGTTAAAAAAAAATCTGATGGCAATTGTCCTGTTTATTGTCAAGGTCCTTTATAATCATAATCCATGTAGTAGCACTTATCCATTCACCAAAGTAGACTTGAAACGATACATGCATGCTTTACAATAACAAGTGATAATGTTCATTTCATATAGATGACATCAACTGTACATCATTTGCCACATGGACTGCAGGATCTGGGAGTGAAATTTTATGTCTCTATTATAGACCTAGTAGTCTTTGTTTATTCTTTGAACCTAATCTTATCAACAGCTTCTTCTTTTCATACATAGATATATTTCCGAACACCACATAATCAGAGGGGGGGCTCGATGCCCCGGGCGCCAACCTAAAGCGCCACACGTAGCCTATATTTCTGTGATGTTCATTTAAAATAGGGGGGGGGGCGCCAATAATGTAGCTTGCCCTGGGTGCACGTTTCTCTCACTACGCCCCTGCACAAACACTACAATATGTACCAAAACTAGTCACATTTTAGATCAAGCATATCTACGCAACCCCACAAAGTGATGGCAGCTAAACTCCCTACACTAAAGGTTTGGAAGCAATACCCATAGGCTAAGGCCACACTCTTTGACATCAGCAACTTGCTTTAGCCACTGGTCATCTCAAAAGATATTTTTGATGAAGACCGACATAACCTTTATAAAGACCTGACCAGTCAAGCCACTGTATCTACCTTATCCATCACCCGTATAACAAAGGTCTGAGCAAGACAACAGCAGTCAGTAGTATCAACACGTTCAATGGTACCAACACTAACATAGGTCTCAGAGATCATAACAAGTGTCTTACATAGGTCTCAGAGACCATAACAAGTGTCTAACAGGTCTTAGAGACCATAACAAGTGCCTTGCATAAGTCTCAGAGACCATAACAAGTGTCTTACATAGGCCTCAGAGACCATAAAAAGTCAGTAGTATCAACACGTTCAATGGTACCAACACTAACATAGGTCTCAGAGATCATAACAAGTGTCTTACATAGGTCTCAGAGACCATAACAAGTGTCTAACAGGTCTTAGAGACCATAACAAGTGCCTTGCATAAGTCTCAGAGACCATAACAAGTGTCTTACATAGGCCTCAGAGACCATAAAAAGTGTCTAAAATAGGTCTCAGAGACCATAACATGTGTCTTACATAGGTCTCAGAGACCATAACAAGTGTCTAACATAGGCCTCAGAGACCATAACAAGTGTCTAACATAGGCCTCAGAGACCATAACAAGTGTCTAACATAGGTAAACTTAGACTTTTTCTCAACATGATAGAAACTTCACTGGAACTGGATTTCTTTAAAAATGTTTCACTGTCTGAAAAACATATAAATGTAATTTTAACAATGGCTACTAAAATAAAAACTTAAACCCAGGAAATCAGAAAAATATATTATGGTATAGAACAAATCTAAGGGGTCTCTACATACAAGCTTAAAACCTGCAGAAAAATTTGCACATGTACAGCCACAAAAGCTCACATCTAAAAGTACCCTGGGCTATACAAAGTGCATGTTCACATGTTACAAAGAAGGTTTGTCATAATACATAGACACTAGTTGACTTCATCTTACCATGTTGGAAGACAATGATATGGTCATCAAAATGCAACATCATCTTACAACTAAGTACACAGTTTGGACACATTCATAAAAGTTAATTAAAAAAAAATTCTAATCAAAAGTATTTTCTGACATAGAACCAATCAATGTCGACATTGGAAATGGTCATAAGACGGATAAAAAAAAGCCCCAATACAAATTCTAGGTTTCTAATTCAAAGAATCAAGATTGCTGGGATAAGCTTTACCATAATGAAAACAATTATCGAGACATGTATAAAAAATACCATTGAGGATAAAAATAATAAATTCCCTTTGCATTACTCTTTCCAAATATAAAAAGGACACAGATTTTAAACAGTAAGACCTAGCTTTTACAACTTCACATCTAAACAGCACAACGACCAACCATCTTTACTTTTCCCCAACTAACGTTAGGTACCCATTAGAGCTGGGGGGACTCAGAGACGCCCGAAGATCCTGGAGTTAAAAATCCCAGTCTTCACCAGGTTTTGAACCCCAGACTCCAGTTCGGTAGCCAAGCACTTTACCACTCAGCCACCGCGCCTCCGTTCTACTATTAGTATTTGATATTTGGGTTTTTAACACATCAGCACAATTTAGGCCATGTCGTGCCCATCCACTATTGGGTAAATTGTAGCTCTAATGGTAAAGAGTCTAATAGATAACAAATAGAATCCAATATATAACAATGTCTAGACAAAGTATGCAAGGCAAGTATTGACTCAGCTGTGAGTTCATAAAAGCAGAACAGTGCCACTGCTGAAGGTGATGTCTAGTACAAATGAAGACATTTAACCAACTCAAAAAAGAAAAATAATTAATTTCAGATGTACAAAATAAACTAGTTTACCCAATATATAGATTGGTAGATACAAAGTACAAGCTTAAAATGGAACTATTCTATAAAGAAAAACACTAGAACTAGTGTAAAAAAAACAATTGTTCAATGTCAACATTGGTAAGTAGGGCTGTAAATATTGTGTTGGTAACCATGTGTTGCGCCAGGTAAACAAAACTTAGATGCCAACTCCAGGCAGGCCTAGAGCCAGGAAAAAAAAAGTATTACAATTCTACTCTTAAAATGGTATATACACTAGACGTAAACTAAAGATTTCAACAGACCACTGAAGAAAGACAATATTCTAGTTAAAAGACACATATATAAGAAATAAAGTGAGTGAACCTGTTATAGAATTAGGTCTTCCCTTGATGTTCTGTAAAAGGGAGATAATCTCTCCTCAGGAATTAGTTATAGGCAACTTCCAGAGTCTTCTCAGCTAGTGCCCTCGTTCTTCTAAGAAGGTGTGACGCCAGATCACATGTGGAGTTGTGGACAGCCATGTTTTTCCTTTCTTTTTTTTTTTTCATGTTATGGCTGACTTTGGTTACACACCCAAAATTCCTTATAGCTTCTACAAGAAGAGCTATTGGATACGTGTGTTACCATTGGTCCCAAAGTAGAAAAAAAAACAACATAAAATAAAATAAAAAAGCAAGGGTGGGCAATCATATAAATGAAACATTGTTCACTGATAGATGTTATAAGTAGACTACTAACTGTGACTATTAAATGAAATATGTAAGTGTAAGACAGGTTTGAAATGCTGGGAAACAAGTGATGACAGGAGAGAGGATTCAGTGGAAACAACAGATTTCCCAAATACAAAGGTTCAGACTAAAAGAATTCATGTTATAGAAATAAACAAAGAACCTTTACACTATAGTAAAACTTAGTAATTGACTTATATCTACCTAAATTGTTTTTCTCCCCTTTTAGTATGTTCTTGCAAGGTTGTTTTTTCTGGACCCTTAAAAAATAAATATAAAAAATTCTAGCTTGCGATTTTTAATATTTGGTAATTCCCAATGTAATAAGCTTGTTGTGTGATGATGTTAGGTGTTATATACTAATACTCTCACAATGAAAAAAAAAAAAAAAAAAAAAAAGTTGAGATACATGATGCTTTAGCTTTGAATTCATAATAAACTTAACAAGGACAAAAATCTGTTCAATAAACAAGTAAGTACTTTAAAAATATACAAAATGTTGCATCTGTGGAAATTGAATAATTAAATTATTTAAGTATATAATTATGAGTAGAACTCTTTTGTAATTTAGAAAAAAAAAGAAGAAATATGTAATTTTAAATAAAAATATTTTAAATACTTTGTAATAAATATATCAGCAGTAAAACAGTTTAATTAATTAGAACTTTGTTAAAATAAATAAAAACTATTGATCAGGACAATGTTTTTTTCGGATTAAGGCAAAAAAATCAACAAACGGTGAGCCTTCTACTACCTTGCTTAGTGGGAGGAAAACATGTTTGTATTTTTTTTTAAATCAATTCAATTAATATTCAAAGCCAATTCAAAATGAACTACAATATAATCTAAAGACAGTCTGGAAAAAAATATACATTTATAGATAGAGGAGGTTTAATTGCAAATAAGATTGAAATTTAAAAATTTACTGTAAAAAATATTTTTATTTTTCTAGTTTAAAAAATAATAAATTCAATTGTGGAAAAAAAGAAATAATTAAGCAGATTTTTTCAACCATCAATATTTCATAAGTCAAATGTAAGTTAAAAAAAACAAAAAAACACAAAACAAATAAAAACAACATTTAAAACACCCCAAAGAACTACGAGAAAAAAAAAACATGAATTTCAAAGTGAATAACCCCAACAGCAATGCACACAATGTAATGCACTTTAAGTATCTGAGGCTAAAAGCCAAGTGAAAGCAAACTATTCCATCACTGAATGGGGAGAGCAAATGAACAAATACTGCTCAACGCATGCAAAAAGAAAACTTCTAAAAAAACATTATAGAATAAATCAAGAAACAACTACAATAAATCATGATTTATGATTTTATAATCTTTCTTTTCCCCGACTAGAATGATCTAGATAAAAAATTCTTGGCATGAATGCATTTGTACAAGGAATCAAATCAGCAGAACTATAGATTGTAGGTTATAAAAGAGAGTACCTTCAGTCAAGTCCACTGTAAAATAAAAATACTTTCAACATTGCAAATTGTATTTTTTAAAATACTCTGCTTGGCTGTACACAGAGTTTGGGGTTCTAACCAGTCGTCTATATGTCATGGTGAGAATTTGTAGCTTAAACAATTTTTTTTCCACTCTGTCATATCGTCTTCTAAACTAAAATTTTAGAAATTGCCCTTTGCATATCGGGTAAAGAAGTCAAACG